AAAGTACAGCAAACTCTTAAAGTACAGCATGGTGACATCATAACTGAGTTTTCTCCTTAAAATTCAAAGCCCAAGTATAAGTATTACTTTTTCCCTATGCACATTCCAGCAAAGCAGTCAGCATTCCAGGTTGGCTTGGCCAAAACAGCATCACTCTGCTGTCCCCCAAATCTAAACTTAATACTCTGTTTTTTCCCTGCAGATGGCAAGACACACAGAATACAGGAAGTAGTCAAATGCAAACTGGTGGAGGCAGAAACAAAAGCATCTGGAAACTTGCAGTTTTATAAGGAAAAAGTTCCAAATTGCCATTTACCTTTGAAAAAGGAGGCTGTGGGCAGCCACGAATTAAAGAACAACAAAAAAAGAGCTTTGGCTGAACAAGAGAGAGAAAGGACTTCCAAACAGAAGCATCTGTGCCTCACTGTGGAGGACTGGGATTTGTTAAATACCTACTGAGTCAGAAAGAAGTGGGTCTTTTGTTTGTTGTTTTCTTGCTGATGACAGAATTTAGGCACGTTGAGAGGGGGAAACAAAGGAGACTGGTATTGTTAACTCTGGCTGCTGTGATGGGCTTGTGGGTTAACCATGCTTGGGGAGGGGTAGAGTCAAGGAGAAGGTTGGTGATACTACTGTATATTTTCAATACATGATAATTTTTTCAAATAAAGTTTTTTTGTTGTCATCCTTAACTCATTCTTCTGACAGAGGTTGTTATTCCCAGAATAGCTGGTCCTATCCCTCCTCCTCTCTAGCATCCCAAGGGGCAGGAGACTAATCACTGTGGCTCATCTGAAATGAAGCTGCACTGAGCTCCCCAAGTGTCGTGGGACATCAGTAGTGCTGATAGAACATAAACCTCAGCCTGTAGTGCTGGTAGAGCTCTGACAAAGGGAAGAAGCACAGAGGATAAGCACAGGCCCCAAGGGAGGGAGACAGAGAGACAGTAACCCCTCCAGAAAGCCAAAGTAGAACAGAAATCCCCAATCTCTTTCATTTTAGCCCAGGAAATGAAAATTGAAACTGGGTTATTATAAAGGTTAGACTGCAGTTGGAGTATAGTTTCCCTTACAAGTGAATTCACTGCATGTGAGAGCATTCTGTGGTTTAAAAACCATTCTCAGTGACTGCAGTATACCAACCATGCTCCCCTACCTAAAACCAGGGAACATTTACAATTCAAATACCAATTACACATATTTGCTGTAAAAAAAAGACATTCAAGGCCAGGAGTACAGCTATAATGACTCGGGTGTGTTTATCATCCTGTCCTTAGTGACAGGACAAGGGGAAATGGCTCTTAGCTGAAAGGGGAGATTTAGATTAGATATTAAGAAGCTCTTCCCTGTGAGGGTGCTGAGGCGCTGGCACAGGGTGCCCAGAGAAGCTGTGGCTGCCCCATCCCTGGCAGTGCTCAAGGCCAGGTTGGACACAGGGGCTTGGAGCAAGCTGCTCTAGTGGAAGTTATCCCTGCCTGTGGCAAGGGGTTGGAACTGGATGAGCTTTAAGGTCCCTTCCAACCCAAACCAGTCTGGGATCCTATGATCATCAAATTCCTGCTCTGAGTGTTTCTATCAAAACTGGCTGAGGTGCACAATGCCCATCAGTCAGAGAGAGCAACCTCATTCTGCTTTTAGGCTGCAAGGCCAAGAATTTACTACAGGTCTCCCCTATTAGTATTTATTTAGATGATACCTTCCTTTTACACTGCTGTTCACTATAATTCAGCAACAAGAAAAGCAACACATCCTTGGAAATCATGAAGAGGCCAAGAAAAGGGTCTTCATCTCAAAAATGGATAAAGAACTAACCCCCTTTCTTTCTTTGCTCCTTTACTGCTAAACTTTCCTCACAAAAAAGGACTACACACAAACAAAACACTCAGACTTGCATTCCAGCCCTACATTTTTTCCCCAGAAACAAGTCTATTAATAGCTTCCACTGACAACTGCATCAGCTCTCTGCAGAGACAAATAATGGCACTAGTAGTGACTTAGCAAAAGAGCCTCTCAACAAGGAGGAAGATGAGGGTGGCCCTCAAGCATAACCCTCCTCCTGCAGCTGGCTTGTGGTTCCACAGCCCCCGTGGATTGCTTTTGGTAGCCCCTCTGCCACTGGGGAGATCTGCTAATCAAACCATGGAGAGATGCACGTCTCACAGTCAAATACTCCATTTCACATCAAGTAAAGCAGCTGGGAGCAGATGCCTTGAGCTGGAAAACAGGCACATTGTGATTTGACACGAACAGCCTGCCCAGTTCACAGGCTTGTTAGTAGAACAATACAGAACATCCTTCCTTTTCAGAAGAGGTGTTCTAGAGCACTGTGTTCCTTCTGTTCCTCACCCCCGGTACAATCATTCCTTTCCTTAGGTTTCTTGCTTTCTGCAGCCTTCCTCTTTTAAACACACCACTGTATAAATTTTACTCTAGGAAGACTTAGACACATTTACTGTGGCCTCAACCTACTGATCTCTGTGTATTGCTCTCTGTAAGGCACGCAGCCCCTGCTGACCAGGAGCAAGGCAGTAAGATAATTACAGGAGGGGACTCACCCTTCAACAGATAGGCTCAATCTATCAAGCCCCCTGCTGCATCCCTGGCTGTTTCCAGGCTGGCTTCTGCATCTTGCTGCCCATGGACTGCTGCTGCTTCCCATGTCTCTCTCAGGTAGTCTCTTCATAGGCATAAATGCAGAGCAGGATGAGCCCCTGCTTCCTCTCTCCTAACCTGAGGCCATTAATCACAGCCCTGGCCTCGCAGGAGCTCTCATTGTGAAGTGATACAGGGATGTCAGCCTGAGAGCAGCCCTGGGGCTCTACCTTGCAGGCACCAGCAGAACTTTACTGGCTATCTTAGCTGCAGAGATCACATTCCTGACCCCATTTCTTTGGGTTCAGCTCAATTACAAAGCTGAAAGATAGAAGAAAGGGAGGTGACTGTGTTTGGTTTCCTCCTTGCAGCCAGGGATATCCTCCACGTGCCCTAAGCCTGCCTCTGTTTCCATACCTTCCTGCTGAAGGAGAGAGGAGGTGACACAATAACTTTCCCTGCCTTAAGCCAGACATTTGCCTTCTTTATCATGTCTCATAATAAAGTAAGAATCCCCAGACCCCCACATCATCCCCATCCGGCCAAGGCAAGCTGCCGCTTGACCTCTGCTGCGGTGAAGCTCCACATAGCAAGCACAAGCACTTGACTCCCCATGCTTACACACTGCATGCCATAAACCATTCCTTTTCACCCTCAGGAGCATCTTAGAACTTGGCAATGATCAACAAATATTGGCCTGGGAGAATACAGCAGTTGCCGTATGGATGGGCCTAACCAGCATCCTCTTCCCAACCACAGCAAGCATTGGAGGATCCAGAAAGCCATGGCTATCCCAGTATCTTTGATACAAAGCATAAGGGGATTTTACCAATCATACTGGCTGGGCCCTACGCTATCGAACCATGTGGCATTGTAGCCCACTTGCCCCTACCAGTGTAGAGAGCTTGTTGTACATCCTCCCACTTCAAAGCCAAGGAGCAGGCAAACAGTCCGAGCCTGAGCTCAGACTGAATCAGAGAGCAGCTCTTATCCTCAGAGTGGTTGAACCAGCAGCTCTGCCCCTGAATTCCCCCTCCTCGAGCCCCTCTTTGGGTTACTAAATGTGGCTTTCAGGGTTTCCCACAGTACCAGTTCCACAATGCAGAGATTTGCCATCTCATTCCAGGTGAGAACACTGTAAAGCTATTTCTAAAAGGTCTCTTACCTACAGCTGTATCCCAGTGACAAATGAGAACGTTCACCATTGATACCGGTCACGGGGACCTGCAGAGCTGCAGGCCACAGGACAGAGGGGAAATGAGTGAACAGGGGGTTATTTTTAAAGATCCATGACCTGGGATGGAGGTGGGGAAAAGCTCCCTTGGTGTTTGTTTGGGGCCTAGGAGTGTAAATGCACTCACTGTAATGTGGGGTTTTCTCAGAGGTGATGTTTTAGACACAGATGAGGTTGGCAAAGGAGCAGGGAAAGACTTTCCTTAACGTTTCAGTGGCACATCCACATCTCTATCCTTGAAGGTTTGGCTGCCTGATCCTGCTTTGCTGGCACAGGAACCAAACAAGCCGTGCACAGATCCCGGTGTCACCCCCTTCTGCCCTGGGAGCAGCACTTGGTTTCTTTCCTGCTCTCTGCTCCGAGGCTGTGACTTTTCCCCCTCCTTTCTTTGCCAGCTCCAGTGCAAACGCATCCCAGCCCAGTCTGTTCTCACCCTGCTAAGCTGCTGCTCCCAAACAGCACAGCCCTGAGAAGAGCACTTTACGCACGTGCTGGCTCCTGCCCTGGCTTGCAGGGATGGCTACACCGGGACACAGTGATTTATCCCCACAGACCTTGAAGCCTCTCCACTTTTCCTTGCCATGGCACTTGTATTGGCCTCCACAGTTTGAGAAGAGCACAGGAGGTGGGCTCTGCAGCAGCTCCCCACGGTGCCATCCTCAGCACAGCATTCCCAACGAAGCATCCTGGGAGCACCAATGCAGATCCTTCAGAGCCGCTGCTGCAACCATCTGCAGACGTGCTTTGAACACAAGCACAAGCTGCTCCTGCCCGTGAGGATCAGAAGTGTTGAAGGGAAGTGCTAACCCAAGGGCTAGAAAGGCTCACCTCACCCAATGTACCTTCATCTGGCTGCCTGCAAAGGCACCAGCATGTCCATACAGGAGGAGCTCCTTGCTCTGGGCTGTCCAGACACAGCATCTGTGTTGGCAGAGCTGGTAAGCAGTCTCCAGAGCTGGCACACAACCCATTGACTCAATGCTGTGAGACAGTGCTGTGCCCATGAGGAAAGGACTCACCCTCACATGACAGGAGGCCCTTGCGGGTATCCCACAGCCAGCATCCAGCCTGCAGCATGGGCTGCCATATAGCATTTCATCCCTGATAAGTGTCATTGCGCTGCTATTGAGGGTTTGCTTGGTTGGAGCCTTGCAAGCAGGAGGACACCGAGGTGTCAAGGTGACAATGCAGTGCGTTCACGGTGTGCAGATGTACTCATCGGACCAGTCCAGGCAGTGCTGGATGCCGTCCCGGCACAGCCTCCGGGGGATGCAGGAGCAGTACTCATAGAGCACAGGGCTGCAGCTCCACCAATCCGACCCGCAGAGGGGGCAGGCGGCCGCTGGGAGGGATGGAGAACATGGAACAGGAATGCTTCTTTCTGCTGCACTGACCCCTTCCCTCCCTGCTTACACTGGTAGCCACCCTTCCACCCCTGCAGCTACTGAAGAGCCACTGGTGATAGCACTGCCACTGCGAACCCACCAAAGGGGACACTTGCTTGATGCTACTGTGGGAGACAACCACGGAGCGTGGCAATGCAACACAACCCTCATGGCAGCTGTGCCATCCTGGGAGGACCAGCTAGCTGTAATGGGTTTCTGTTCAGCAAGCTGCTCTAGGGAAAGCTGCTGATGGATCAAAACCAGGGGGGTGACTTAGGAACAAACCTGCTGCTCATCTGACCAAGAGAAGGATCTAGGTTGTTGGCTTTGAAGCTGCAGAGGGACGCTCAGTCCCCCCAGCTCACCTATGTACCCATCTCCTGACCAGTAACTGAAGGCCAGTTTGAATGGTCACTGCTGCCTACAGCTGCTCATCGTGATGAAACTGCTCCATGCTCAGCAAGCCATAGAGGAGGAGCGACTTTTGGGACTGGGAACAAAGCACAGAGCCTTTCCCCTCTCAATTGCCACCAAGCTCTGGCACAGAGCTCCAGGCAGCTGATGGGATGGAGTCCTCATGGTTCATACATCCTATCCTGGCTACTTAGTGCTTTAGCAATGGATGCCGGCCTCCAGGTGTTCCCAGCAGCACCAGTGAGCACCACACCAGTACAACCCATCTCAACCCATCAGCAGGAGAGCACTTTTCCCCAGCAGAAGCCAGATGAGAGACTCACAGCTCCCCATCTCATCCGAGCAGTCTCCGCAGTCGTTCATCCCATTACACCTCTTGTCAGCATAGATCCAGTACTTGGGGTTACTGCAGTGGAAAACCAGGTATCCCGGCAGGCTGTGGGGCAAGTCACCTGGAGGGACACACGGGACATGGATGCACTGGCTGACATGGGAACGGCAGGTACCAAAGGCTGCTGGTATCAGAAGGGGTAGTCAGTCCTTCCCTTGTGTGATGGCCAGATGTGAATGACCCCACAGATGGGAAAACCATGGTTGGGGAGGGAAAGGGACACTGTGGCTGAGCTGGAAGCAGTCTGGGTCCCCCAGGCTTCTGCTGTAGTGCCTTTTTCCAGGGTAACTGGACAAGAAATGAACCCGGTAGGCAAACAGCTTAACCAATGGGGGAGAACTGCACCACGGGTTAATGGCATTCAAAAGGGAAGATCAGAGGAGCTTGGAGTGCAATTCCCAGCATTCCCGGTAGGATTTGGGCAGTGCCACCTCTCAACACCCACCCTACAAAGGTTTATCTGCCCACGTACACAGCCAGAATCATGGAGCAGGGTTAGAGGGACAGCGGCTGCTCTGCCTCACAAGAGCAACCCCAGCACCGGGATACAGCCACAACAGAGCCACTCACCACAGAGCATCTCCTGCTCATCCTCCCCGTTCCTGCAGTTGCTGGCTCTGTCACAGACCTGGCTGGCAGGGATGCAGGCAGCTCTGTCATCACACAAGAAGCCTGTCCGGTTGTTGGAGGCCGCACAGAAGCGGGTCACTGAAGGGAAAGCAATAAATACTTTATTTCCCATCATTTTCATGGTGTGATCAAGGGGGCATTTCTGAAATGCATTTGTTGTTCTGGAAGTAACCAGGAGCCAGGGTGAATGTGTGGTTGGTTCTGAAAACAGTACCAGTGATCTGAAGTGCCACCCAGAGCTACCACAGCCCTATGGAGCACGACAAAGGGCTGGGGGTGACTCAGGCTGCGCAATGCCGGCACAGCCCCACACCACCCTGCTGGTCCTTGTCCTTCCTCCAGGTCTGCACCCGAAAGCATCACCTCACAGTGATGGGCATGAAGGTTCTTTCTATGCAGCATCACTTGCTGCCTCTCTTAACAAAGAAATAGCAGCTCTCATGATACCAACCTGGTGCCCATGGCCGGAGCCCCAGTGCCACCGCCAAGGCCACGGTGGCAGCGAGGATGAGCAGTGCCACAGCAGAGATGCAGACACACCTCTGTGTGCAGCCTGTGCGGGCACCGCATGGCCGGCAGCAGCCTGTTGGGAGGCAAGAGCAAGAGGTGAGGGGCTGGGGTTGGGTCCAGCAGGGTCATTGGGAACAGCACAAAGCCACGAGGGTGGTGTTTGGGGGTTCAGGGGTTGATAGCTGAGTTTTGGGAGCCAGACTGACATTAAACACCTCCTCATAAGGAATCGTGGTGCTTGCAGTGTGGAAGAGCCTGTGCTGATGTTACAGAGCACTGGAACCAAACAGCACGAACGCTGCTGTTGGAGCTCACCCAATGCACTTGGATGCAGAAGAGGTGAGAAGGCCAAGCCCCTGCCTGACCCAAAGGGACAGCAATGCCCTTTTCAGCAACCAAAGCACAGGGCAGGTCAGTGTAAGGCTGGGAAAGGGCCCTCCCAGAGCCCACAGCAAAACTCCAAAGGGTAAAATTCCATTTTACAGCTTTTTGGGCTTTCTGCCCCAACCAGGGCTTCCACACCCCCATGGAACAAGGCTGAAGTATCAGCTCAAACCGGTCCCAACAGGCCTAAAGCAGCCCATCCCCTCCCAAAGGGGTACAAAAGGCAGCAACCTTCCAGGAGCTCCAGCTTTCACAACGTCACCTATATAAATCAAACCAAATCCGGAAGCTAAAGGCCAAACCCAGAGCCAAACACCAGTGAAGGTGCAGCCTTTGCCCAAGCACAGGAGGCTCCTGGCTGCAGCAAGCATCATCTCCAGCATGCTTGAGCAGGAAACCAGGCACAGAACCTTTCAGCTTAGGTGAAGAGTGGTGAATTACAGCCTGCAGGACTGCACCTTTGGGCACAAAGCACCAACAGTGGCAGCTAGATGCGAGTATAATGCAACGGTGATGAAGTGTTGCTGCAACCTGATATATAGGTTTGCTATTGATCCTGTTTGAGCTCCCTTTAATAAAGACAAAACACACTGAAGTTTGGCTATTAAAACATATAGAAAGCCTATGGCAAGCTCATGCTGAGCCTGTGATAGACAAGGACCACTTATCATGCTATATACCGTGCCACTGCCAACTCCAGGCCAAAAGAGAGCAGCTTATCAGTCTTTTAGCCTGGATGTTTCACTGCACAGAAAGGGGACAAAAATCAGTCTCAACGGGCCATAAATGCTGGTTGTATTTTACATTACATAGGTAGTTTCAATGGATTCATAATTTAATAATAGCAATGTTGAGCTCTGCATTTTATTCATTACCTTTTTCTTCAGAGAAGGGTTTTGTTGAACACCAAGCAGCTACATCACCATTTCTCTAGAAGGAAAGGGATGAAAGACTGTTACCATGCAGGGAATGCCTTTCTAGTTCTCATACCACCTTACCCAGGAATATATAATGCATTCCTTCTTTTACATACAAAGTTGCCTTGGTGGAAACTCAGAAATGGCCCTGATTTAGCTCAGAAACATCAATCAGATCACCTTTAAATCTCAGTTTCCCATCTGGAGCACAAACACCAATGCCCAGTCCAGCACCTCGTATCGACACTTCCCTTCTGTATCAGATTAAGGAGAAACAGCTCCCAGCAACCAGCAGTGAAGAGGTCACACAAACAGCACTACCAAGAGCACAAGCACGTTAGGAACCAGCTGCACCCAAGAGCTTTCCCAAGGGAAGGACTGTACCTGAGGGTGAGTTCTGTTCATGCTTCCCAGACCTACAGCCCTCTCAGGAGCCTGAAGGATCACAGGGAGTTTTCTGTACCGTGACGTGAGCGGTGTTACCAGGCTACAAACCCAACAGAGGTAGGAAAGCAAAGGGCGTGCAGGAGGGGATGGGGAAGGCTGCGCCAAGCCCAAGCTCCAGCTCTGGGTGGAAGTGGTGGTTTTGGTTTGTGTCTCATTCCTGCTGTGGGTCCATTTTGGTTTCATAAGGGGGCATTAGGCAAAACATAAAGGACACAGATTTTGGATGCTGAGAATAACACCCCTGCTCCTCACACCGGTTTGGAAGATGAGGGCTCACTCTTTGCTCATAAGGCTGGGGCTGATCAGAGCAAATCCCCCTTTCACAATGAAAGCCTGAGGGAAGAGCATCTGAACATAGAATCACAGAATGGTTAGGGGTGGAAAGAGCCTTTAAGCTCATCCAGTTCCAACCCCATCTGCAGCAAGTCTCCTTTCTCCCCACCTCCTTCCCAAGACGATGCTGACCTCCAAGCAGCACCAGCCCAGGCTCACACAAGATGATGAGTCCTCTGCAGAGCTGTGCAGGATTCAACCATCTGGAACAGCTTCCCTGCGGGGCAATGAGCACAGGCATTAATAAATCCTCCAGGAATCCTCTCTTTTACTTGCAGACGTGAATGTCCAGGCCTGCAGTAACTCTTAGCAGCTCAGCCCATAGCGAACATGAGCTTCAAAATAGGCTGCAGCCTTCTAAACTGGCTGCAGGGCTCAGCACAGCACACACAGAGCTTCGAGGGTAAAATAATGGGAGCAGGCAGCTCGGTCAAGGGGGTAGGAAGGAGAAAAAGCACTGGCATCAAGGGTTTGAGGAGCCCGTGCTTGCAGGAGGGTCCACAGGTCTCAAGTGCCTCCAAACTGTTGCCACCTAAAAGATCACAATTACTCCTCAAGGGCTAGCAAAACTAGCTCACCAGGGCTTCATTGAGGCAGCTATATTGCATGGAAGTTGGCCTTGAGACAGCTGCCCTGAACTGATTCAAAGGACCTGACATGGAGGAACAATCACAGCTACTTCCCTCTCCATCCCCACACAAACCCATTCTCAGTTTCATTGAGTTAATACATGCTCCTTGACAAGGGCACCTGCCAACCCTGCACTGCCCTATTCAGACCAAACAGCCTTTCAGGACCTCCTCCTTCAGCATGGCAACACCGATTTCAACAAAGCAGAAGCTTCTCACACGAATACATCACTAAGAGTCTCCCATTTCAGGGGTAATTTGAGGTGAAAACACCAAACACCAAGCAGCAAACAGTCTGCAAGTATGGACACTTGCTACAATATGGAAGAAGGGACAGATGAAGGGTTGAAACCTGTGCACTTTAGATTCTAGATCTCTTTAAAGAGGAAGGTTTTGATTCTAATCTTAATACAGAAGGAAATCTGAGCCTTCATACAGCTTATTAAGTGATGGTGAGCCTGCTAAGAGTCCCATTTAAAAGCCAGGCCAGGCAAATGTCCATGTCTGCCATCTACCACCATCTATTTCCTACACCAAGACTATAAAGCTCAGCTGTAGCCAGCCAGGCAGCTGGGTTCTAGAGCAGTTACCCCACATCAAAGATAGCTTATAGTTCAGAACAATGAGGCCATGAGAATGAGGTAACAAATGCAAACCCTTCTGAAATCAAAGTAAGGATGGAAATCTTTGCCAAAGACCTGAGAAGCTGAAGAGGAGACACAGAGCAGTGTCAGTATGACAGGAGACTACTGCGAATTCTAGCACCTAAAGAAAACCCCAGTCCTCCCCAGTGTACCAGGGCTGTTTCTGCCTGCAGTGCATTGCACACACTTGAGAGGGCTGCCTCATCTGAGTCAAGATGATTCCATTTCAAATCTGATACGAGTTCAATTGCACACGTGCCTAAAGAGAATATGAAACGCTTCCCCCCTGCAATCTCAGTGATTTAAAGCCCTCCATTTAAGCGCTGGTCTTGAGCAGAGATCAAACCCCAACTGCAGCGCCTGCAAATGAAGATGTCAGGAAGTTATTTAACAACGAGTGGGACAGGCTGGTTTGCAAAGTCAAACGCCAAGGCAGCTTAAACAGTCCATTTAGGTTAGAAAACTTGGGAAACAGCTCCATCACTGCAGCCTCGCTGGTATCCGATTTCACTGAGGGAAGATGGGAAGAGCTTACACGTTCAACACCGAACGAATCCTTCAGGCTCTGGCTGGCTCTCAAAGCACAAGTGCCAAGTGACAGATTGCCACAGGCACACTTCCCTGTGACCTAACAGCGTCACAGAATCACTGGCTTCACGGCGCAGATCACTTGGCTGAAATGTCATTAAACAGAGAACAAAAGGCAAAACACGTAAAACTCGAGCGTTCTCCCCTGGTGGTAGGCAGATACAACGCCAAGTGGAAGCAGAAGTTGTTGAAGTCAAAGCTAGGAGCGTAAGCAACGAAGTCAAACCTTTTGGAAGGGAAAGCTTTGTGAAATCAAGTCATCAACACAAGGGAGGTTGTAACTGCACACATTTGAAACAGGCAAATAGCCATGTTTTCGTGAAGCTGTAATACTCCCTCTGCAACTACGTGTAATGGTAAAGGAAAACATTTATACAGGCTTGAAAACACATCTATGATAGCTCCTCAGTTAGAAAACCTGGGATTGACAAAGTCTCTTCTGGAAAGGCAAACCCAAACAACACAGCGCTAAGGAGACAGGCAACTACTGCTGAAATAAAGCCCATATTGACACAGCAATGGCTGAACACCCGTGGCACACATCACATCCGACGCTGTTCGAAGCAGAACACTGGCATGCTGCACCAAACCAGGGCTCTGTACTGAGCTTTCACTGCTTGAGCAGAAATAGACGTCTTGGCTGAATCACTGCTGCAGAGAGAGGGATTTCCCACCCCTGCTATCATGCAAAGCAGCAGTGCTCCAAACCCACCACACCAGCAGTCACGCTCGAGGCATTGCAATAATGCCATGGTACACACAAAGGTACCTGTCAGTGGCTGCTGGCACCCACATTTCTGGGCCACCACATTGGCCCACTGAATAATTTAGCATGACGAGATACCACTCATGTAAGACTTCAAATTGCAATGTCTGCACGTTTATAGAAGCCTCCTTAAAACAAGCATTGCTCAGTGCTAACTCATTGACACAAAAGCCAGGGAGTGCTTCTGAGGGTGTCCAGCAGCATTGTGCAGGCCACTAATGCACATTCCTGCTTAATGGCCCTGCAAAGCTCCATCCTCTGTAGTTACACAACCACCAGCCCGATCAGGAATGACTGCTGAACCAGCCTCAACAGGGAGGGAACGCACCACTGCATCCTCCACAATCACAGAATCATAGAATGGTTTGGGTTGGAAAGGACCAAGTTCCAAACCCCTGCCATAGACAGGGACACCTCACACTAGACCCATGTTACCCAAGGCTCTGTTCAACCTGGCCTTGAACACTGCCAAGGATGGAGCATTCACAACTTCCCTGGGCAACCCATTCCAGTGCCTCACCGCCCTCACAGTAAAGAGCTTCCTTATATCTTACCTTAACTGCCCCTGTTTAAGCTTGAACCCATTTCCCCTTCAGTTCTCACCAGAATTCAAAACATGAGGATGTACTGCTTGAAGGTTTTTAAACCTTCAAGGGAGATCTGTATAACCAGCAAAATATCATGAGTTAGGAACCATGCATTCTAGCCAGCTTTCAGATACTTAGAGACCCCAGTATAATTCACATGCACTCCCCACATTGCTAGTACTTTAGGAACCAGCACACAGTGATCTCCTCGAAGCAGAGAGCCACAGAATCTGCTTTAGAAATAAGAGGGACGTTGTTAGTAGTTGTGTTGGTGAATCATAGCTCAAAATCAGGTCACACCGCCATGAGAGGCTTTCATACTATGTGCAGTCAATAATTCACCATAGCAAAAAGCTATATAGTCAACATCTTCTATACAGTCAATTTTATTTGTCTGTTTTCATTTCTCAGGAATCACCTTGCTTCTGGAAATGAAGTTACAAGACTGGAGCAGTTAACCAAGAACAGGAGGAAGGATTTCTTCAGAAAACACAGGTGCTAACTTTACAAGCAATTTAAGACTTAAAGGCTAAAGGTTGACAAAGGAATTGACCACGGCATGTTCTCTGGGTGTGAAGGGATATGTCCATAGGTTTTAACAGAGTTCCATCTTCCACAAACCGAGTTCTAGCCTACAGCACCTCACAAATGTTTCCATCTTGGATATTGCCGCACTGTAGGGAAACAAATATATATATATATATATATTTCTATTTTTGGAGCCAGGGTTGTCTGTGCATGAAGGTGAACAAAAATTCAGCAGATAGTTTTATAGTATTTTAACTACAACAGAAAGTGCAACACTAAAAAGGCATCTCCTGCCTATTTAAGATGCGTTATACCTTTACAAAGCTACCTCTGAATGTACACATTATATCCTAGAACACACAAACAGGTTGGAAAGTGTCATGGCAGAAGGATGGAAAGCACGCTTACAGGTTCTGTAAGCGCAAAGACACGCAGCAAACACTAGTGAAAAGTGACTAGGTCTGGAAATAAACAAATTCAAGATGTCTGAATCTTGACTACTAGCTGAAAACAAAATCCCATGACGTGTGTTGATTCTGTAACTTTATTTGCATTTAAAGACTGGCTGCTAAGCTTCTTATCTGAAGAACCACCACAATCAATCAGGAGTTGCTAGCTCTGTTAGAATTAGTCTTATTAGATCCAGTGGAGGCTTATTTAAATTGCTGATTGAGCCAGGTTGACTTTTGTAGGAAGAGGTCCTGCTTCTTCATGTTCCTCAGTCTTGCATCTGACCACAATGAGTGCAGAGGATGGGTATCTGTTCAGTTTTTGTTCATTCATGTATTCCAGATCTCCATAGATGCTCAGCTTCTGGAAGAGTGAAACAATTTAGTTTCAGACAAAGACTCTCCATACTGGGAATAGAATGCATTTCGTTACACAGCTTTATTCCTGGTTCTGATGACTGCAGCCCTTCACTACAAGGGAACCCAGGCTTTCTCGACCATCTGAAATTCATGGCTAGCACAAGATTTGCATCCACAAGGAAGTATTAAATCTGCGAGAACAGTAGATACAGTGCCTGTGTAACACCAGTAACATGCTGTCACTTCTGTTCTCACTACTGATCCTCCTGGATTAAACCCATGCTGCCTCCCACCTACACCATCCGACTCTCAGTACAGCTTCATTCCCAGAGAAATCAAAAGCAGCCTCCGTTTGTTAAGAGTAACCTGAAGGTTGTTGAGAGGAGAATGCTACAAACCAAAAGACATCTGTGCTGTCTGAGTAAGGCTCAAAGGCCCCATCAGCCTCAGGAAGGAGGAAGAATTGCTCAGCTATAATATCATCATTTAAATAACACACAAAGAAACACTCAAGCTCTTTCTAGTTGAACCTCCCCAAATATTTCTTAGTCTCTAGCCAGGAACATAAAAGTAATATCACTAATACAATAAAAACTATTATAAATTATAAAATGTCAGTACCTCAGATGGAACATACTGCTCTACAGCTGTAGCTACAGTTGCACAACAAATCCAGAGCAGCACCAACACCGACAGGACGAGCGTAGTGGTTAAAATCCAACTGGAATTTCTGAAATGGAAAGCATGTTACTAGATTTTATATACTCAATGCAAGACAATGGAGCCTCTCAAAAGTTTGGCTCAATTTTGACTGCATTTCCTGCTGATTCATTAGTCTCTAGCTCTTCCAGCTACACAGCCACTTCAGGCCCCTGGGTACCCTAATGCCTATTTAGTATCTCACTTGAAAGACTTGCTGGATTCTTTTTATTGGGCCCATTTAGTTCTAAAGCCAGATTTTTCTGTTACATATTTGGCATGCAATTCACTGAGCCTTCATGTGTGAACTCTGAAAAAGAAAGTAATCAGAGTAAAGGAAAGAAGAATCAACATACTGATCTTCAGTAAAGCTTTAATAAAGACACACTGGGCATTTTCAGCCTGGAAATGAGATATAACAGTGGCTTTTCTATCAGACAAGCCCAAAGCAAAATACAGGTGTTTTGCCCCTGAAACATATCCAGAGCTAAAGAACAGGCAAAACCCAGTTCTGATTAAGCAGTTCACAGAACACACCCAAAAACCAGCATAGGAAATATAATGTTCACTTGAAATGGAAAGAATCAAAGCTGGCAGAATAGCTTGCAAACATCAAGGGGCCAGCATGGAAAAGTAGCAGCAACAGACACTTAATTTTAACTGCTCTGCATCCTGAGCCTAACAGACTTGCAGGACTTTGAGATCTTGCAACAGTGCCCCCACACACACAGAGGAAAGGCCATTATCCTCCTTACTAGATACAGACATTCTAGAATATACATACATAGAGAGACACTTGAAAAAGCTGTCGTTTGCTCGCTCTTCAAAAAGCCCTCTGTACGTCTGTGAGCTTCCTGGACGTAGGTCTGCTGAAACACAGCAGCAGAAACAGCAGTCAGGAAAGCAGCAAGAGAGGAGACCCAAACACCACACCGTTTGTCTGTACACAGAGCATAAAAGGAAGCTTTAAAAATGGCCCTAGCTTGCATGTTTCTGTTTCCAGCAGAGCCTGTTCTCTACCACAGGCTTTGCTAAGTGTACACAGTACAGTCTGCATGGCAAAGAATTCTTCTATTTCAGCTTTCTAAAAAGTTAGCTTCCATGTGCCACCTGCAACTACTTTCCTGTTATTCTGCATGCAGGCAACATTTGTATTTGCTCTTCCAAAGCACAAAGAACAACTTACGAGCTGTTTTACTCAGCGGCAAGGATCCTCTTGTATCTCCAGTTTCCTGGTCAAGCTGTGGAACATACTGTACTTCTGGCTTTGACTAAAACAAAACCAGAAGTTAGGAGAAGATCCTGCTAGCAAGCTCCCACTGAGCTTGGTAATGTACAGAACTAATACTGAAGTTAACCTTGAGACATGCACCATTCACCTAAATTTGATCCCCTTCCCCCAGCTCTAAAGGCAGTGAAATACTAGCAAAAACTAAACACTTCTGATAGTGCTCTGTAATCTTCTGTGTGCCTGGAAGAAGCAGAGTGAAACATTTAGCAGCCAGGACACCTTAATCTCAATGAAAAAGGCAAGCACCTGGAATATGACAATTTTGCCATCATCTGCTTGAAGGTAGAAAGTCCATGAGGATGTTATGAAGCTCTGAGCTGAATCCATCACATCACTCCAGAATGATCGCACCAGTGTCAGCGGAAAGAGGAGATGAATTCTTGGCATCAGGGACATTAACTGCAAGCACAACATTCACTGGTTTTCCATTTGGTTTCATATGAAAAGGACAGAAATGCTGTTCTTGCTCACCTGTTACCCCATAATCTAGACTGCAGTCCTTAGGAACATTTATTTTCCATTTGAAGAAATTTTAAAGAGAGAAGACACACACACTGAACAGAAAACAAGTAGGTGGTATTTGAAAAACATGTCATCTACTTACTTGCTCTTGCCTTAATTCAGCAAATGGCAATTGGTTCTGGCATCCAAGATGGCAAGCATATTGTTCATCAGATTGGGAGTATGCTTCAGTACAGGCTGCAAGGAAGAATTTCCCCAAATGAGAAGATAAATTCTGCGTTTTAGTTAAGAAAACATTTTCAGTATAAGTTGGATCAGAAACAAAGCAGCAGTTGAAAGATTGACAATCCCATTTGCAGGGAAAGATGTGGCAATCACTCCAAGGGTAGTATTTGCTCTGAGGTCTAATGGAGATTAAGGAATCAGAGCTTTGGCAGATGATGTGGTTGAAATCTGAATGCAGTTACAGCAACTGATCAGAAACATTACCCTGGCCAAACCCAGGGATGCAGGTTTTCACTGATCCTCTCACTGCCCCTATTTTTTCCCTCTACATAGCATGTAAAACATGATTTTTTTACCTCAGAGAACAGAGATGGAATCTTAAAAAGAACAGAGGGACCATCAGTCCATTAAATCCCTTTGAAGTAACAGCAGTAGTCATGGTATGACACGAAAATCAGAGGAGCATTTTCCTGCTAGTGTGACGAGTACAGAAACTGCACTGGAAGTACTATGGAGTCATTTTTTAATGAAGAATGAAGTCAACTCTTTGTTTTACAGTCAGCTTCTATTAATTCTACACTAGAGATCATAAAGACCACAGAGAAATGAGGCAGACAATACATGGGCACAGCTCTTCCCTAAAACGAAAGCTTAAGTGGACAATGTTGCAGTTCTACCTGAACTAAAGAATCAAACCAAGCAGCAATAGAGAGGACAGCAGCACTCCCCATTTTCTGCAGGAACAAACAGGCCATTATAAGGACTAAAACGCTGGCAGGAAGCATGGCATCAGCCACTAAACATCTAAGTGCTCAGCTCCTAGCACCTGAACAGTTGATTCCATGGTAAAAGTGCTACCAAACTAGTGTTTGTAGGCATATAGAAGCATCGGAAGACAGAATTGAGCAGATCAGCCAAGATGTATCTTGCCAAGCACAGAATATTTAGTCAGGGCACCAACCAACAGATTACAGAACATAAGCCAGCAAAAGACAACAGCTTCAGGAAGGAGAGTTAAACCAGGAAGTAAGCAACTGTTCAATTACCTCTACATGTGGTCTATTGCTACATCACCCTTTTTTATGGCACTCTTTCATGTGTGGTTTGACAACCAGACTGACATGATATATCACAGCTACACACGGTGTATGACAGACTAAAGCATTAGCCCGTTTCTAGAGTATTTAATCCAGTTTTGTAGCACGTCAGCATCTCTGCATGTCAGGCTTTCTCCTTCTCTACCCTCTATCAGCTTTATGAGCCAGCCACTACCCCACTTGTTTTTGTGAGCTGCTGACAGGGCTCCTTTTGAGTCCTGGCTTAGTTCTTAATTGTATTGGAAATGCTGACAGAGAACTCCTACCTTTCCTGCTCTGGGTGGTTATGTCCCACTTATTCTTTGAATAAAACTGGGAATCAGCTACCTGGATGAAAGTTTTACACAATTCCAACCCCAATATTAATACTGACTATAGGAAACATTTAATTTTCACTATGAAATTTTTGCTCTAACACAGCTGATCTGAGAGAATTAGTCACTAGTATCTAATGACGTATTTCAAACAAAACACATACCTTGCTCCCAAGAGTTTAGCTGTAGGTAAGGCTCAGGATGTAGCCTAGACCACAAGTTACAATGCAGACAGCACATCAAGATCTGTGTTCTGAACAATTCACTTGTATAGAAGTCTGCCAAGCATTGTAAATGGGACTGAGTGCAACTTGGAATTGTTAAAGTGTTCATTTGACTGGATTTTCCCCCCCCCAGCCATTTTGTATGACAAACTGTTTATAGTAAAATGAAGCATTGCTAATTTATTTACAGAGACTGATGATAGTTAAGATCTTGTCAGGAAAATAGCAACAATAAAGCTCAGGTAAGGAGAAACTTGCAGAGAACAGAAAACATTTCCTAAGAGTTGCTTGTTTTCTTTACATCCCATACATAAAGTTTCAGAAGTTGTTAAACAGAACCAAAAAGCAGCTGAAGCGATCCCACCAATATAACACCACCTTTTCCTGCTCCACCCTCTGTTATGTGTGCACATTATGGGATGCTGAAGGAGGGCTGAAGTCTTACCTGAGTCACATTCCAGTTTGGTTCGATTTAAATCAATGCCATCGTCCACAAATTGACAAATGGAAAACAGCCTGCAGCCTCGCTGGCATGCGTACAGCTCCTCTTCCTAGGAAGGCACAAGAACAGGTTTGTATCCCTCCATTCAAGAATAAGTTGTCAGAAAGCAAAGCATTTTTTTGGTTAAGTGCTATAAAAAGCCACCCACCAGAACACCAAACTCCTTCCTTCCACCAGACCTAGAAGCCACCTAAACACAAGACTCTGGATGATCTGAAATAAAACCCCAGCTACAGCTCTTGAACGCTAACACACACATTGATCTGTTTCAGAGCTCTTCATTCTGTGGTGGGGCAAACCTCAAACAGCAAATTCTGTTTTGTAATTCCAGCCCTACAACTCGCAAGCAAAGCTGCACTTTGTTTTTAAAGGGTTTAAATATCAGAGCTACTGCTGTAAAAGACTGACTGATGCTTAACCCTACAAAAGTCAGATAACTTCCATGTGAGAACTTAAACACTAGAACCTAACAGGAGAGGGCAAAAAAAAGGCTAATTTTGGCAGTGCATTGCAAAGCATCTACTAAACTCTACTCAGAACTACAAAAGAACTGCCAAAATAAGAGCTCATTCTGATGTACTATCCCAGTTCCCTGGGTCACTGCTTACTTGCCAAACCAGTTCCACAAACACACATTTATTATATTGAACTGAAGGGGAAAAGTTGTTCCTCACTGCACCTGTTAAAATTATGCCAATCTAGAAAGCCTACACCCACTATTTCTCTGTCCACAATACCAAAGGGAGGAACGTGCACTTTCCACATATAGTGCTCTCCACATTGCAGAACTAAACACAGCCTCTCCTACGTGATTGCTCCTAGTTACAATCACATCCTGTCATGTATCAGGCCCACCAAAACCACTACCAACCACTCAAATGACTGCAGCCATTTGCTGTACAGGTGGAAAACGGGCTCTGAATTAAGTTAACAAACCCCAAATATACCACACCTCACTGTATAACCAGTGAAGGAACTGGCCATTGTTTGTCTCTGAGAGCACAAGTTCACGTGCTTTGAATCACAAAGGTAGAAAACTTAACTCTAACACCATTGGCAAGGTGGCTGAGCTAGCTATGCTGTTGCAGAAAATGTGGTTGGTTTCCAACCCTCACCTTTCTATGATATCCAGGCAGACTTAGCTTTAGCAGACCGATTTCTACAGCAGTGTTCCATAGAACTCTCAATGAAGCCTGTCTTATTTTCCAATGACAACTAAACCAATTTCCTTCAATTCAGCTGGGAGCTTTGTGCCAAACAGAAGAAAACACTCCATGTAAAGGAAGAGCTGAGTGTCTTACTCAACAGCTCCAGCAAAACACAGCAAAGAACTGAAATGTACTATGAAAAAACTCACAGAAATATCTGCCTGCCTCGAACAAGTCCTGAAACAGAAACAAGAGCATTGCACCAAATCAGTATGGAAACATATTATGGTAATACTTAGTCCCAATTCCTCAGGTTTAGGTTTTTTCCTCCTCAATATCATCACATGTAGGCACCGTATGTACATATGCCATAAGTACAGGTATAAGTTTACTTGTATTCCACACAACTCCCTGTTACCCCTCTCTGTGGGGATACCGATACGAGGCCCAGTCACAAAACCCAATTTCAGTTCCACACGGAAGCAAAGTCCTATTACCTGACACTGTGACCAATCTGCCTGTTGCCCTTGTGTGAAATCTCAAAGGTGGGGTGAGAGCTCCCATCCTTTAGAGCTGAACCTGCTACATGGCTGCAGCTGATAATGAAGTACATTGCCAAAAAGGAACAAGGAAAGACATTTTCAGGCCTAGATTTTCCACACTCAAGCCAGCACTTCAAAGCCGTGTAACACCTGAACCAACAGCAAACTCTGGCGTATGAAATTACATTCCCATTAGACACTATTTCAGTATTTTATCACGAAATGAAAGAAAACCCATGCAAGCAAATCAGAACAGAGGTTGTAGGTTCTGACAAGCTACTTATTTATCATCATTTACGCTTCGTTCTTCAAGTGCCACACAGGTCCCCTGACTCAGGACCTCTGGCCTGTCATGAGCACAGCACTGTTTTAGTTCCCCAGAATACGGGACCAGCCTAAGTTAAATTACAGCTGCCTCTTTAAGAACAGGAGTCAAAAAAGCAGCAAAACCCACAAAACCGCCCAGCAGTAATGAAACCATGCATTTAAAGCTGAAATTCTTTTCCAAGCTGCAGCCTAACCATCTATTTTCAAAATGAAGTATCTATCTTTAGAGAAGCCACTGCATTCCCTACTTTGTTGGGACAAGAATCTACAGAGATGAGACCCACCATGGAGGAACATCAGCAGGTTACTAACTGCACCCGAGCACTACAAGCATAAGCTTCTTTCATGGAACACTAGAATGGTTTGGGTTGGAAACGACCTTAAAGCTCATCCAGCTCCAACCCCTGCCACGGGCAGGGACACCTTCCACTACAGCAGCTTGCTCCAAGGCCCTGTGTCCAACCTGGCCTTGAGCACTGCCAGGGATGGGGCAGCCACAGCTTCTCTGGGCACCCTGTGCTTATTCAGAGACACCTCAACACTGCTTGAGAAAGGCACAGGCCTCAGAGAGGGCTCCTGCGGAAGAATCCCAGGTGTGTCCCGTCACTGTGGAGCACAACAGGGAAAAGACACGAGATGGAGCTGCGAGGCGGGGAGTGGCAAAGAACAAGCCGAGGACCCGCTGGGCTAGGGAGTGAGAAGGGAAGCGGTGCTGAGCCCGGGAAGGGGCCTGGGAAGGGGCCCCCCGCCGAGCGCCGTGAGGCAGGGCCCGCCCGTACCTTGGGGTAGGTGTGCAGGGAGTAGGTCAGCTGGCAGGCGCGGTGACACGACGCCGTGTTGCCCAGCACGGAGTCAAAAGCCTCGGACGAGGCAGCAGGCGACGGCCCGGCCTCCCGAGCGCTGCCGCCAGCACCCCCCAGGAGCACCAGGGCGAGAGGCAGGCAGAGGAGGCCGCCCCGCCGCGCCGCCATCTTCGTCCGCCGGCAGGCCCGCACTGGATGGAGGGGCGGGGCGCTCTCACGAGACTAAGCCCAGCTGCCCTCCGCGCGGGGCATGCTGGGAGTTGTAGTCCGCTCTGCGGAGCAGCCCCAGCTATCCTATAGGGTCTCACCGCCGGCGGGAACTACACGGCGGAACGGGCGGAGCGGCGGCTTCCGGGAGGAGCATGGACCGGTTCGTGGTGCGCAAGGCCCGCTGCCCGGAGAGCCCCCGCCGGGCCGGGCCGGCCCCCCGCGCGTACCGACAGGCCACCCTCGAGTCCCTCAAGGCAGGTCACCGGCACTGGGCGGGGGGCAGCGGGAGGGGCAGCACGGCTCGCCCCCGCCTCACGGGCCTGAGGGGAGGCGTTCACCCCGCGGCACCGGTGCTGCAACGGGGCCCGCTGCCTTGGAGCCGCTGAGGCCTTTCCCGGCCTTGAGCTGTCCCCGCAAGGGTGATGGGAGCACCCCCGAGGAGCCTGAGGCACCTCGGGCAGGGAAGGGGATGGGAGGGGTCTCTGCATGGCGTGACGGCGGGAGGAACGTTTGGTTCAACATGGTTCCAGTTCACGGACATCTTTGTGGTGTTGAGAGCATCCTCAGAGGGCACAGGGAAGTGAAGTTAGGAAAGGATCTGCTGCATCGGAAGGGGTTTCCTCACCTCAGATGGGTTATGTGTTGGCTTCTTAGCCAAAGTGCTGAGGCGCTGGCACAGGGTGCCCAGAGAAGCTGTGGCTGCCCCATCCCTGGCAGTGTTCAAGGCCAGGCTGGACACAGGGGCTTGGAGCAAGCTGCTCTAGTGGAAGGGGTCCCTGTCCATGGCAGGAGGCTGGAACTGGGTGAGCTTTAAGGCCCCTTCCAACATCAACCAGGCTGGGATTGTATGATTCCTGCCTGATGGTCAGGGTGGGCACACAGTTCAAGTACAGCCAAGTGACACCGCCAGCTTCAATACTGCTGGCTGGCTCACAGCTCTCCCCTTTGAGGAGGGCCCTTCAGTTGGTTGTGTGGTGGAACTGCACAAGACTTGTGTAAGAGCTGAGCCATCACTTTGCAGAAACACAATAGGAAAGCACTTGTTGCACCAAAGAGCTTATTAATGTAAGGCACAAAGCAAAAGAATGGTGCATAGAACACTCGGCTGGTTCCACTGCTGAATCTTTGTAAGATGACTCACATCTGAAATATAAGACCTTCACTGTCTCTGGCCACAGAATCACACAATGGTTTGCATTGGAAGGGACCTTAAAGATCTGTTCTGTCAAGGTCTGTGGCAGAAGCAGGGTAAAGAGTTTGGGTTTGTGTTCATGTTCCCTAATGCTTTGTTTCTCTCCCTGCTGGCATTGTTTTAAATTCAGAGCCAGTCAGAGCAGGATTCAGATCCTGACAGGCTACTAAAGATAATTATCTGCCTCCTTAATCCTTTTTCCTATTAAGAGGCATTTATACAACAGACTCCTTAAATTCAAAACACTTCTAGCAGGCATTTGCTGTTATGTGCACTAAGTTTGGCAGACTAAGGTGAAGCATCTCACTTTGCTCCCTAGTTACTTCGCTCTTCATTTGCAGTAGGCTGCTTATCTCAAGCAAGTACCCATCATTCCAGGCCATCATGTCTTCTGTGCTCTGGTTCATGTGCCATAATCAATAATTCATGTGTTGATAACAGCCTCATTAGCTGAGATGAAGCCAGTGCCCTTATTTATGGGAAGATTCCACTTTCCTAATGGCTTTTCTGTTTTCCAGAGAGTTGTGGTCGTGGAAGACATAAAACGATGGAAATCTATGCTTGAGCTTCCTGGACAACCAAAAGAGAATCTGATTGAAGCTTTGGAGGAGCTGAAGAAGAAAATACCTTCCAAAGAAGTGCTACTTTCAACAAAAATAGGTACATTTTGCCTGATACAGACTGTGAATATTAGGCTGTCTTGTGTCTGCTTGGCTTGTCAGTACAGAAGAGACTAGCTTGCAGGCTTATTCAGAGATGAGCGTAGCTGCCAATAGAAAACTGTTGATATCCAGCCTGCAGTTCTCAGAGCTTGTACTGAAAAAGGCAGTTATCCTCAAATTCCCCCCTGCTTATTACCAAATACTGCATCATCCCTCCTGTGGTCAGATGTTTGAAGAGCTCTTCTTGGGCACCTGCCTGTGTTACTCCTTCTCCTGCTACCTGAGTGCTCTCTTGCCATCCAGGATGCGGCTTCTCTCTTTGACCTTCCTAAATCCTCTGAACATGGAAGAAATTCTCCTCAGGTTGGCCCAGAACTGCTTACTGCATCCACCCTGAGAAACCCCCAGCAGATGGGCAGCTCCATTCAAATGACACAGCCCGATGCCTGGCTCTTTTTCATGGGAGCTGGGGGAGGGATAACGTGAAACCACATGGTCCCTGCCTTCCATGTCTTGTGGAGAGCATCCTGGCATGAGAGACAGTCGTGCTGGCCTTTGTTTGGCATTAGAGCAGCTGGATCTCTATTCAGAGAGCCCCCCTTGCCTTAGAAAAGCAGATACGATCTGCCTCTTTCCCCATGCTTCTGAATTGTCATTTCATTTGCTATACTCTGCTTATTCGGGCTTTTTCCGAGGTTTTTTCCGGTGCTTGCCTGCATGCGGCAGGGCTCAAAGCCACCGAAGCCTAACAGTGACATCTCCTGGCCAACAGCGCTAGTGGTCAGAGAGAAGTACCCCGCTGAAAGGAGGTCCCTTTTGTTTCCTAACAGGAAAGCCTCTTTTGCACTGGCAGGCGCTGTCGATAGGAAGGATTCTGCTTGGAGTCACCATGGTGTTTGCATATTAAAATTGTTTCCTTTAAGGGTGTTTCAGTTTAAAACCAGCATTCTTTGTAGGACAGTCTTAACCACCTTTCACCAGGTAATAGTATCTGTGTAGAAAATTAACATAGCCCTGTATTATGTAAGTGCTGCTCCACAGCTTGGTGACTTGGAAGGTAATTTTCACATGTATAGGTCAATTCCTTGCTAATTGCTTAAGCAAAAATCACTGCAGAAGTCAAGGAGTGAGAAGGTCAGGTTTAATTCCTGATAATTCTATACTTATACTGGTGTCAATGCACTGCTTGTTTTGCTGACACTGCTTGAATTCCAAACGTATGTGGCTGCTTTAGCACCGATACGATTTGACTGGTGTCCTTTCTACTTTGCCCACCTCCCAGACCTGAAGGAGCTGTTCCTGTTTTCCAGGTCACACAGTGAATAAGATGCGCAGGCATTCAGATCACGAGGTGGCCAGCCTTGCCAAAGAGATTTACACAGAGTGGAGAACTTTCATCAAAGACCATTCAAACAAGCCCTCAATAGAGGTCAGGAGCGATCCCAAGACTGAGGCTTTCAGAAAGAACGCACGGAAGCTGCTTTGTGAAGCCCTGGATCTAGAGGTAACGTTCAGATCTGTTTGCCTTTGGCTCAATGAGTTACTTCTTGTAGGAACAAGTTAAACAAACCTTTTTCAGCCATGGTTACTGTAAAGCTGGCCCTGCCTGCAGAGTGAGGACAAGACCAGATGATCTGTTCCTATTTCCAGTGATTTGCTGCATGTCCCTATTTATAAGTAGCTTTATTTTCAAGGTAGACCATTCTGGGGGGGTTGCTAACCAAGTGAACATGCCAATTGTAGGTGAGGTGTATTTGCTCTCATTTAAACAGCCATTCAAGTAGAATAGTTGTGTACTGCTGCAGTTTGGCTGTATAAGAGAAGGAGGAAGTTAATAGAACATAAAGTTTTTCCTACTGCTTAACAGCTGTGAAACCAACTCTGGGATCTTTTGGGTGTTTCATATTTAAGTAATTAAACATTTGTAAATTTAAATCTATTGCAAAAACAAAGAGGCAAGGTTGACAGTATATAAAGTGGTAATAAATACCAGATCCCGCAGGTATCTTTAAGTAAATGAACAGGGCTTTGCTGTAAGGCTTAATGACTAGTTTGCTTGGTCTGTGAAATGCCATAATAATTATCCTTTTTAATTTATTCATTAATTATATTTTAAATGGCAAGTCAAATGATAAGCACTCAAGAGTTTCAAAGCTGTGGGTTTGCTAGCTGTGAGAGCAATCTCTCCAACTTCCAGTCCATCAGGATTGAGGCAGCAGGAAAGGATGGTTGGCTGTAGGAATGCCTCAGAAAGGTGGGAGCTCACCTTTGCCAGGCCACTGCAAGCTTAGTTCTTGGAAAGCACATCTATGCGTTGTGATAAGTCTGGTGGTAAAGTCTTGAACTATAGGAACATAAAGGCTATGGTACCACCCTAGAATGAGTAGTGCTGGATAAAGCAGAGTTACCTGTGATCAGGACTTACCTGAAAGCACGGCAAGGAAAAATACCCTTAGAGCTTGCAGCTCCCACCAAAAGCGCAAGGGGAGCTTGCAGCAGCAGATAGACAATATATAGGGGGAGCTACATTGGTCCAGCAAATGAGGAGCAGGAACACCTGAGAGGGTGACAAAAAAGGAGAAGGGAAGTTGGGGCTGAGTGGATCCAAGGGTCTTCCAGTGCTGCCCAGCAGAAGGGCAGTTTAGTCAAGAGTAACAAAGCCAGAGTGGGCAAAGGACTTGGAGGAATACTGCTTGGCACGCTGAAATCTCCTGCATGCAAAGCATGGGAGATTCCCCATCACAAAAGGCTGAAGTGAAATTAAAACTACTTCTTGATGGGTGGGGGATATTTTTCCAAGCTGTGCTAAATTACAGGTTTTGGCACATGTTGAAGCAATAACTGCATAATTAACATTTAGCAAATCCCTTTCTGCATTGTTAATTACACCTCCTTCTACACACAGAGAGCCCACATTTCCCTTTATAGCACCAGGCAGAGTTGCCAAGTGTTTGGCATGTCTTAGAGTTGCTGTTGGAATCAAGTTTAAAATAGTATCCAAGGTACCTTATATCAGCAAGATCAAAAGTGAGCTTTATGGAGACAGTGGAACCTGGCTTGTAATTGCAGTTGAGCTTGATACCCAAAGCTAGTTGCTTCCTGTTGTGATGGCAAAGTACTGCCACCCAGCTGGAGATATGGATAT